CCCCAAAACCCCAAAACCCCAAAACCCCAAAACCCCAAAACCCCAACTTAAGGACAAGGGATTGGTCCATGATTAATAAAAATAATATGTCATTAAGTTTTATCCAGAAAGACAAATCAGTTCATTCAAAGACTTCCAAGAAGGTTACCATTAACATCTCTCATATAAGAAAAATGGTTGTAAGCTGCAACTTCAGGAGGCTAGGGTCGCCAACTGTCGCTGCCTTAAGGTAAAAATTTAGAAACACCTTATTAGTATTGCGTTAAACCTCATAAATGGGGCAGTTACGATGTACTTTTCTTCCATTAATGAAATCTAAATTTATAGCTGAGTCATCTAAAGTTTGAGAAAATACTGAAATTAGTGAATATCCAGCCATCTTGGGCTTCTCAGATTGTTTCCTTTACTAATAAAAAAATTGGCTTGGGCCATATTGAAAAACCTTTTGAAAGGGAGTTCTTTTAATAAGTTTGCTTTTTAGTCCGCTATTTATTAATAATTGTTTGGGGAATTTTGAGTATATTTCTGTTCATCTTTGATGATACTAAACACTCATTTAGACTAAAATCAGGCAAGGCTTTAAAGAAGCTTAAGTTGCTCAAGGAGAAAAATGTAAGTGGTTATTTAAATCAAAAGATTCTTATTTATTGTTAGCCTTTCTTCTATTTATTGAATATTTGTGCACTTTTAACAATAGAAATATGAAAACTAGTCTATATTATAAACCTCATGGAAAAATTTTCTTAATAAATTACTCCAGTTCTACAATAGCCTAATAAGTTTGCTAAGGCTTAAAATACTATAGACAAAGAAGTTTAATATTATTCTTAGCCTATATCTAAAACAACGATATTTTTGAAGTCTTTACACTCAACTATAGAGCAATATTACTTCCTTCTTCTATTCTAGAAATATTAAATTTTCTTAAGTTATACATATTATTTGGAAACTAATTTTGAATAAAAAGTTTAAAATTTAGATAGGCATTAAGGCTAAGTGGCTGATCCTATTTCTTATTTTTTCAAATTTTGATAGGGTTCAGCCATATAGCTGTTTATAAAGATGATTTATTAAGTTAATAATAGAATCTTACGGCCAAGAGTAAACTCAGAAAAAATCATTTCAAATTCAACAAAAGGGCTATTAAGAATATTCATAAAGTGGATCTAAGCAACTATAAAAATAAGAAAGCTGTCTCAAAGAGAACAAGAGCTAAATGAAGAACTCTCTGCAAGGAAGAACAAGTCGTTGACAAATGCTCACTTATACATAGAAAACTACTGGAGAAAATAAACACAAAGATGGAGCTATCGAAGTACTGAAATGGTAGATTTTTCTCTCCCCAACGCTTGCAAAGGAAAATAATGAGTCCTGTGAAGTACGTATTTAGTATAACCAAATTAACTTTACCATAGTATGAACAGAGCATTAAGAAGCCCAAAAGCCCATAGGTTCGATGAAACAAAGTATCTCCCTGAGCTCAGCATTCAAAGCATTTAATAATGTTCATCATAAAAAGTGTTGACTAATAGATTCTCACTCATTCTGATGTTACCTTATCCACTAATTATTTTAAAACTTTCCTTTTCTACTAAGAATTTAACAAAGTCGGTTTTCTTAAATAACTCTCATTTCTATTATTTCTGGGAAATATTAACAAGTTTATTTTAGAAAATTAGCAAAACTCTTAAATAATCCCTATTTTTATTCCGCGGCCAATAATTTCAAGAAATAGGGTACTCCTACCTTTGGAGCAGATATAGTCTTGAAATCTTAAAAATAGGCTTATTTTTATATATACTTCTTGCTTTAGTACAATAATGAGCCCTTAAATTAGAAAAGCTTATTGCTGCATGACTTTGAAGAAATTTTGAAAGGATTTTTGTAACTTAATAAAATTTTAAGGATCATAAACCTCTTTTTGCTCATCTTCATATTCATAAATTCTGTTGTTGGAAACATTGTATTTATTTGTGAGAAACAAAACATTTTCTGGGAATTTATTAGAGGGACTTTATTGTTTAACTCTAATAATCTCACTTCAACAGCATGCTAAAGTTAAGAAAGAGAGGTTGAACTCAGTCCGGCATATTTGGAAATTGGATATTTATAACTTTTGAACAATTTTAACTAATTTTTATATCAGAGCTATATCAGAAAATCTGTAAATGAAGCATAATCTGACTTTATCATTCCTTTTCTGCCTAAAGCCTGGGCGCTGAAATATTCCAAGCTGAAAAGCAAGACAAATTTTCATATTGAAGAAATAGTTTTTCTAAACAACTTTATTATTCTCAGTGAGATTTTTCCACTATTGGAAATTTTCAAGACTTTTATCCTATTAATCATAATAGTGGGATTAATAAGCTCTTTGATAAAATTTTAATGAGAAATAAAGATCTTATTAAACCATTAGAAACACTGACTTTGCTATAAATCCCAGCTCTCCTTCCATTCAATCAATAAGGATTTTAACTATATAACTTTAGAAATAAGATAAAATGCTTAAATCCAGAGAGGCGATGCCATTTCTTAACATTAGGATTTTGCTTAAAACTCAGTACCCTTCCTTTATAGCTAGGTCTTCTCCTACTATCGTATTTCAATGTTTCATAGTTATTAATTTTCAATATGTTTTAGTTATTAAGGGGTTTTGGGGTTTTGGGGTTTTGGGG